TCTCTTTCTTCCCTTGAGCTCCACAGCTGTGCTTACTTTCTGCTGTACTTGTTTCAGGTCTCAAGTATCTGTAATTCTGAAAATGTGGTGGTGTTGCCACCTCTCTTAGTTGATCTCACCAAAACCTCATGTCTCCCAACATAATATGGAGATCATTTTACATGACAGTTAACATTATGAAATAATTTTATATATGAAAAAGCAGTTTCCTATGACTTCTATTGTAATGGAAAGCATTTGTGATTCATGCCAGTACTGAGGTGAAATATGAGAACAACAGACTAAAGCCATCCTCCAGCCCCTTGCATAACCCAGGACATATTTTCCACGTCTGGATGAAGCAGCCCTATACAACACTGTACATTCACCACATTTAATGTCTTAAGTAATAGCCATTCTCTGCTCTGAATGAGAGTCAAGGGAAAGAGGCAAGTGCCCAGGGAAAAATGAGTGTGTAGTCACTTCTTTTGGAGCCATATTCTACTACATGAGTGCTACAAGGCCAAAGGCATGTATATTTCACAACCTGTCTGCTATGTCCCTTCTCTTTGCTGCTTGACTATACAATCTTACTGTTCTTTTAACAGTAGTCTAATTTCTTCAGTTTCCCTTTTTAAATAATGCAAAGCTGAAAATGGGCAAGTCATCGTCGTGAGAATAGTCTCTCCTGACTATCTCAGGAGGGATAAAAGCTCCAGGTCTCTGGCAGTGGGTGACTTGATGCAATTGATGGCAATAGCGAAGTGTTTGAGCCATCCCCTGAAAGGAGTACCACTCTGGTTTTATCAGTGGTTTCACAGGTATTTGCTGATAGCAGACTGTTGAGCCTCAGGTCTCAGGTACTGTGCTGGCAAAAGTGTCTTACAGACTAGCACTCCCCTTTCATCCTTCCCCCCCTACTTATCTATGGCACTTTTGCTGTCGTCTCCTGCCACTTGTCTTCTTCCTCTTCTGCTTCTGCCTCTCATTAGCCAGAAGTGATAGAGCCATCAGCTGGAGTCACGGAAAGGACTTCTTTATCCAGTGTGTTCTCACATGCTGGGGCTTTAAAGTTGCAGAGCTGGCAGTCAGAGCAGTTTGCACTGCTGAGCCTCCCAGTCCCTATCTGAACTAGTTCCTCTTGGGCCCATATAGGAACACCAAGTTGATTTGTTCACCTCAAACCTCGTTCTTGAAGCCAAGAGAATTACTTTTGCTAGAAGCTACTCCTAGAAAATCAACCAGAGCCAGACATCCAGTATGATTTCTTCAATGCTTAGAGATTATTAAAAAGTAATTTAAGCAGCTGCAAATCAGATCTTCTGTCATCTGCAATGGAATGTTTAAGAGAGTGGGAGCTTATCTCTCCTGACCTGTCCAAGCTACCAAGCTCCAGGAATGGAGTGATCAAATATTGCAGAGCAAGTCCTCAGTATGGATTCATGGATCTATAGATCCTGCAGACAAAATGTTTTAATTTTTGTTTTACTTCTTGAGACAACCATTAGATTCCTTTCAGTTTGCCAAGCAGTACTATGGATTTGAACAGTATAGTCCTACCTCTTTTATTTTTTTCTTAAGCCAGTGGGTCAAGCTCTGTCATTTAATGCACTAACCACCAAGTCCCACTAATGTCAGCTTTCCTTCAGAGGATGAAATAATATGATTTAGTCCCAGAAAGCAGACCTCAAAGTCAGAGGCTTTATAAGCATGCCTCTTAGACCAAAGGCTTTAGCAGGTGGATTCTAAGGATTTTATTATGAGGAGCTTGACATGGGGTGGAAACTCTGAGCCATGAGGACTTGCCCTTTCTCTCAGCCAGATGCTGAGCTACATGTCCTCCGACTGTGTTCCAGCTGATATTGACAGCTGTTCACAGGCTATAAAATTTTCCAGCAAATGACTTTTACAAAGTATTATTTTTTCAGAATTAAACTAGATATATAAATAATAAGTATAATAAGAAAATAAAAAATAAATATAATAAGAAAATAATAAGAAATAATAAGAAAAGCATATTCAGGATAAAACAAATTTAGGTACCTATGAGGTATTTAAGTTTAATAGGCTAATGATTGAAATGTCCACTTTATAATCAAAATTGCACTGCATTTTTTGCACACTTGACTGTCAACAAAAAGAATGAAAAATATTTTCAAAAGAAAAATGCAGTGGGCTACTGGCCATTTATATACTCTACAAATTTTAAAGATATATTCCTGATAGTTTATGTGGGCTGATTTTACATGAAATGCCTTTAAGAACAACAAAGCAGTTATTTAGTACCGCATACTCTTGTTAATAAAAATAACTCTCTTCAAAAAGTGAAAAATAAATCCTAATACTTAGTAGTACCATGGCCACATATAATAGTCAATGGGAATTTTGTGAGTCCTGATTGTGGTTAATATTAAAAGATTTCACTTTCCTCTCTCCCAGATTCTTTTTTTTTTTTTTTTTTAATTGTTTAACATGATGTCAGAGGTCTATGGACCAGCCTCACCCAACTCACACTCCTGCACTAAGTTGGTAGAGGTTGGAATAGCCTTGGCCTGTTGTGGAGCTTCTGAAGCAGCAGTCACGAATGAGCTGGAGGCCTTACTGCAAGGGGATACAGATCAGGACCTACTAGGTGAACTTCAGTATCATGTGTGGGACTTCCAGCTCCCTTTTACATCTGATCAAGTCCGCATCCTCTCTACTACTCATGACTGCAGGCCTGCTTTCATGTGTTTTAACCAATTCTGAGCCCTGTATGAAACACAATGATGCTGATTCCTGGATCACTCAGTCACAAACTGTCATTTAATGATCACAGCCTCTTTGATTAACTGTTCTGGATATCGGCACCACTGGGCACAGTTGCAGTGCTGTGCTGTAGCTTGTGGCTGGAGCCACGCAGGTATCTGTCTGGACTCCTTTATTTCAAAGAGAATAGGAGGGACTGAGGTGCCTCATGGAGGAATAAAGATGTATGCAAAGTCATTGTTAAAGCAACTGTTGAGAAAAGTTATGTTCTATTCCACTGTCTTCCTTTCCCATAGCCCACACTCCTCCACCTTGATGTGAGTATCCATGTTGGTGGCCAGTCCTCATCCACTGGATGTCCTCCATTATTCACCTGCCTGCTTGTCAGCCTGTAAGTCAGGCTGTAACGTCAGCCAGGCCTGAGGCACTTAGCTACAGGCTGCAAGCTGTAGGACTGTGTACATGTACATGTTTTCAGAAAGCAGGCACTCTTCAGGAGCTGTCCTGCTTCCAAGATTTCACTTTATTACTGTTGTTTACGTTCTTGTGCAGATGTGTTTATGTGAATGTAGAAAAAGTAACGAAGATTGGTTTTGTTAAAATCATACACCCACAGGGTGAGGAGAGAATTCCAGAAGTATTTCAGTCACCTTTTCATCCTCCTCATCCTCCAGTGCGTGCTAAGTGCATGTGTCATCCCTGGTACTGGAGCCTTTGTGAGTCATTCCCTGAAAACCTAGTGTTTCATTATTATTATTAGAAAATGTTTTCCATCAGCAGGAGTGACATTTGTGCTGATCAGAAGGGGGCCATTTTTCTTGCAGCCATATCTCCAGCAGCACAGTCCTTCTACTCTGCCTGGCAGTAGTTCTATAAGCCCCAAAATGTGCTGCCCTGAGTGAGGTGACCCACAGAACGTCCTTCCTAAGCAGCTTGTTGATGTTCTCCTCCTGCCACTGCAGTGACTGCAGCTTTCTGTGAAGCTGCCTAGATCACAGCAGCAGTCCTGGCCTTGCAGAACAGTCTTGGCCTCACTCATGTCAGCGCTGTCTCTGCTGGCTTGAGTTGCCAACTAGCATGAGGTGGATTACAGTATGAGGCTTTCTGACTTTGGAACCCAACAGGCTAAAGGGAAAGAAAAGCAAGGGGAGAAAAATCTGATACTCTGTTATCAGCTCACTCATTCTCTGTCACAGTGTAATATTAAAATATTACTGCATCTGCAAGTGGGACAGCAATACGTCCTTATGAACTGAATACACAGTGTCTCTTTCTTCCCTTGCACATTCCTATGTGCACAAGTAAGCTAAGCCTACATGCTCCCTCCAGGGCCATGCTCAGATCACTTCAGTTCTGCAGTGTCAGAGCTGGTGCTGCAGATACTTTATTGGATTAAAAATACTTCCTGTTGTTGCTATTCCTTCTATATACGTCCTGGTTAGAATTTCAATCAGCAGTACTGAAATGCTTCCCAGGAGGTTTCCAGTAACAAACTGATGCCTTTCCAAGACTGCATTGCCAGGAAGAGTCAGATGAGGTTTCAGCCAATATCTGTGTTTACAGATTCTGGAGTGAGCTGAACGGAATTCGTCAACCAGAGCCGTCTTAGGTTCACTGCATCACGTCTGTACAAAACCACTTTTAGCTCTCCTGCACTGGTAACTTCTTCTGTCTTGTCAGTCATTATGGCACACCTCTCAGGTTGGAAGGGCTGACAGAAAAACTGCCTTTCATCATGTGAGATAGTCTCATTATTATGGAGAATTACAGAAACAAAAGATACTGGGTGTGACTTGCTCACTGAGATGTAAACACCTAAAATAGGTCAGAGCTAGATCCACATGAGCACCGCGGGCTGCCTGGCTGGCGGAGAGCACCAGCCTCAGCCTGGCATCGTTCTCAGCAAGGACCCAGCGGGGCAACCTTTCTCCAAAGGGCATCGAGGCCTGGCGGCAGCCTCAGAGGGACCAGGTAGATGGAACTTGAAAAGCAGAATTTCTGGAAGTGGTCCTCTGGTAAAGAGAGGAACAAAAATAAAGTAGAAAATGATGTGTCACCAAGAAGCAATTAGTAGTAATTCTTTGGGGATTCATTTTCTCTCATGCTCACCTTCCTTTTTGCTGTTCTCAGTTACCTAGCTATAAATAGAGGAGTAGTTGTGTGCCTGCAGCCATCACTTTTCTTATCTGTATCATCTCACTGAAGTGTACAATTAACTTCTGTTTCAAAAATGCCCATTGATTATAATTTTCCCATTGTGAATTAAGAACTGCAAAACATTTATTGATTCTTACACAGGCATACATAAGCAGTGAGCATTCACTCATGTTCAAGACATTATTTTCCTAGTTCATGGCAGAGAAAGATGACTGTTAAACTGTTTAACTGTTTCTAATATTACAAATAAAGATTCAGAAGCTCTATGAGCACTAAAACTATCTAATATTTGCATCTCAACTCACTACACATTTTCTTGATTCGTTTTCATCAGCTTTCAGGCCAAGAACAGAGAGTGTGAGGGATTTTAATCTGCTGGATCACTGTGTGGAAATTCTTCATGCATGAAACCTGAAAATAAAGAAAATGATAAATCCAGTAGGTGATGATACAGATAATGAAGACATAATGTTTTCCAAACAAATTAGGTTTCCATTTTTAACTTTGTATTTGCTACTGTCATTGAAGATGGGATAAAATAAAAATAGGTTTATTAAAGATTGATCATGCAGAAATGACATGATATGTTTCCTTGTCAAGGTAAGAGATTTACATTAAAAAGAAAAAAATAATCAACTAAATAATTATCATAGAGTTCATTTATCTGGTATTCAAGAGGCATTTCACGTTACGTCACATAGAAAACAACTAGTTAAGACAAAGAGCATAGAGATAACAAATGAATTTTAAAATAATGAGATGAAGAGAGATGGCAGAGGGTCCTGCTGCAAGGAGAAGTACCAATAAATAGCTGCCAGGGATGCCTCTCAAAGTTTAGTTTCAGTACTGATCTTGCTTAATGTTTTCATCAGTCATTTTGACACACAAAACAGAATGGGTTGATGAGTGATACAGGATGAGAAAAGCACGGGTCTGAGAAGCAGGAAATGAATGCTGTCATGAAGACAGACCTGAATAAATTCAATCGTATAAATGAAAAGTTGTGTCTGATATAATACAGACTCCTGCTGTAGGCTGGAATTACTCAGTTCAGCAGAGCATCTTTTAAAGCTGTTGACTATTTATTTTATGTTGACTTTTGTGTTCCAGTGGTCGGGCACCACTTTCCCTTTTTGTTTGATTGGCAGCTAGTTGATCTGAAGCAGTAGGTATCATTTGGACAGCGTGGGATGGTGGGCAGTGTGGCCTGGGCGTGTGTATAATGACAGCATGAAAATTATTATGTTAATATAAAATGTTATATGGAAAAATAACTTCCAAAAACTCATATCAAGGGCCTCCTAGAGATCCTATTCTGTTAAATGTCATGACACATGCCAGTTGTTAGACTTGTGCCTCCTCCCATGAAGTGGAAACTTTCCAGGTTCAGTTTGGAGTTTGCTGTCACTTTTAACACAACTCATAAGACAACTCCAGTCTTCATGCTGGAGCTCATGCTTGAGGGTCTTTTACATTTTTTTCAGGTACGGTCATCCATATTAGGATAGAAACAAGACCACAGTGGTGAAGCAAACAATCACACAGCCCAATTGCAAGTTTCTGTGAGTATTGCACAGATAGTTTGCAATGACTTCATGGAATCTAATTATTTCCACAAAGACCCTCAAAATTTCATGGTAACAGAAAAAGAACTATTGTGAGTTGTTGACATGCAATTTCTGAACAGACGTAAAATCTGATATATCATATTTAATAAACTCTTCTACAAAAAGTAGTCTTACAATATTGTAAGAAAAATTAAGAAGATGAGCAAACAGAAAGATTCCAAAGTCTCTCTAAGAATGACACATGAAACAGTTTTACACTACTGGTAGCACATTCTGTCTTTAAGGTGTACAGGAAAGTACTGAGAGGTATTTTTTAATCCTACTTTGTTTCATCATGTCTTTTTACAGTTTCCATTTTATATTTAGTTTCATAATCCAAACAATTCTGAATTATTTGTACAACAATAAAATATAGAGTTTTGCTAACTTAAACAAACTGTTCAGCAATCACAGTCCTACATATACATTTTACATTCTTCTGTCTATTTTTAATGGCAATATCTAAAATAAAAAGATAAGTACATTCTCAGAAAAGTATCTTAAGTGGGCTCTGAAATAGCAAAAAGTTGAATATGTGTTTTCTTAGTTTACACAAAATGGTAATCAATAAGGGATTGCATGTATTCTTTAAGCAAATTTCTTTTGCATTCACCAAATACAGGAATATATTCAATGAGCTTTAACTGTAGTCTCTCAGCTGCTCTGGCCTTTTCCCTCAGCTATTGAGGGCAGGTCTCTCCCATAATCTCTTTGTGAGGCCAGCTAGAGCCAGACAGTGGGGAAAAGGTTGTGGGAAAAGCCTTCCAAATGAAGTACTCTGCCCTCTGAAGATCACTGTTCTGAGCCAAGGACTGAGAGCTATGAGTATCAGCTAGGAGACCCTCAAAAGTCTCGTGAGCATTTTGGCTAGCTGTCCAAACTGAGGTTAAATGCTGCCCATGCAGTATTATTCACCTTAAGATTTCAAAATACATCCCAACTGTAAGACAAATGCTTTCCTTCTTCTCTCATTCAGATTCGCACCCAAAAATTACATAAACAAAAATAAAAAATGGAGATCCAGACATATTCAAGCTTGAGTGGCATACAGTGCTTGAGTGGCAGAGACAATCCTGTTGTCCTGACAATTAGTTCTATTAGTCCTCTGTAGACTATTTCACCATGCTGATTTCCCTCCAGACATGAGGTACAATGACAATGCTAGATAACAGCTCTCAGGGAATCTGTGGTGTTGGTGAATTCAAAACACCAGTTCAAATTCTTAATCACTGAAATAGTGGAAGGAATCACTTGTCATTTTGCCCTTCCATTCTTAAACTGAGTTTAAATGACTCAGATGTTTTACTTCACCCCTTTTCCCCAAAAAAGTGCTATGTGTGATGAGCAAAAGCAATTAATAAATTATACAGCTCAATCCCATGATTTTGTGCATTAATACATGAAGCCTCTGACCCCCTACAACAAGAATTTTTTAGTGATTAAAGAGACATTCTGGCATAAGTAGGTCAAGTGTAGAGCTCTGGAGCTTCCTTTACCATCTGAATCTGAGTTTGCAGCCTTTCTCTCCTTAATTATAAAATCTCAGAAATTGAGGGAAATACAGAAAAATCTGAAACCCTATAAATAACACATAGCAATGCTTGGCTTCTTTGGGGTTTCTCAGGTGTTGTCATGTTCTGAACTGTGCAGCCAGCATTCTTCATACATTAATAATCAAGAGAAGAGACATTAAAGAATAGGAAATATGTGAATAATACAAGAGACAAGGGAAATATAATGAAAGCAAGTGTCCTTCACCTGACATTGGGCACGATCATTCTGTCCCTGTGCAAATAAATCTCAGGCTTCAGGTTTGGTAATGAGGCAGTAACTTGCTTGTAAGTGCAACTGAAGGCAGATAAAGACAGCTGTACTTCCAGATAGCTGTAATTCTCTATTACTCATACTGCAGAATTGAGTCCTTCAAGATAATAGCCAAAAATTAAATAAGCCTTTTAACTGCACTGTGTTAAGTGGGGTCCCTGGCATTTCCCGGCATTAGGAAAAGCTGCTTTAAAAGCAGCTTCAGAAAATTTATCTTTTCTAAGCTTGCCAGCAGACATCTGATCAAACTGAACAAGGGCAGACATGCCAAGGTGACAGAGGAGCCAGCAGCTCCCCCATGTAGGGGGCTGGTGGGCAGAGCCAGGCACTCCGGGCAGGCACAGCTATGACCTCCCTGTGCATCTCACACTGTCCCACATCTGCTGGAGACGGCAGACAGCATACTAAATGCATCAGCACTGCAGTGCCTATAGCTCATGCACATGTTTTGCCCTCGAATTAGGCAAGTGGGATCCCTAAGATATTCACCTTCCTGTCTTGCTCCTAGTCCATCTCTGATTCTACTTAAGTGCCCAGCTCTTGGCTGCAGAAGTACTAGAGCTAATACTTATATCACCTGCAGATAATTTTTAAATTCAAGTAGCATTTGTTATGCATTATTATTTAACTAGTCAGAGAAAAATGCTTGAGGAAGAAGTCAGGTGAAGAATACAGCTTCCCCGTGCCAATTGTAATCCTTTGAAAACTGCAGTTCAAAATCACTGCTACTTTGAGATCGAAACTCTTCAGGGGCAGAGTTTTTTTTTTTTACATTTAGATGGCTTTGATGATAAGCTCAATCTAATCTGACTTTGGACAACTAATAATACCTCATTAGAAAAAAACAACCACTATGCTCAGCATAACGTGCAGCCATGGAAGATCGTCCTCCCAACTATTTAACTGATTGAATGATGGAAGGATTGGTCTTTTCTAATAGAGGCAATGTTTAATATAGACTTACATGGCTGTTAGACTTCCAAGGTCTTGTGAGACGAGTAGCATCCTACAGTGGTGAGCTGAGATTCAAGGGATCAAATCTCACAGATTCTCTGCTATTAAATTGTCCTTGAAACTCATTTGCATCCTTTTGGCCAAATATTCTGATAGGTGCCATACCTGTAAACAAAATTTGAAAGTAGTGCTTACAAACAAAGTACCATATCAGTAACAGAGTAACAGTTAACAAAGTTGTATTTATGAGAGGGGAAAACAGAAATTCTTCCTGTCTTTTCTGTAACCCAAGTTTAAGGAAACACACATTCCATTCTGGATCCATGATCAGAAATTCTCTCTCTTGGTTGAAACTGGCAAATCCTTTTGACCCATACTTAGTTCTGCTGATGTTCAGTTAGAAATAGTGATTAAATCTCAAAAAAAGAAAAAAATCTTTTAAATTACAAGAAATGAGTCCAGGAAGAGAATGTGAATGTAGCCATAAATAGTAAAAAATAAAAATTTAAATAAAATGCTGAATTATAAAATAAGCATTCCAATTGATTCCAACAAAACCAGTCTTTACTAGGAGAGACCTTGGAAAACTGATACCACTTATTTAGAAATAGATTTGAGCTGCAGAACTTGAATGAAGTAGTTTTTGGGCAACACTGCTCATTACAATGCACATCAAGGTTTTGGTTTGACCAACTATAGAAATAGAGTCCAGTGACAGCATCCAAGTTATCTACTTGCATGCTAAATATGGGTTTATAGAAGTAAATGACAGATTACATATAAACACTCATCCATACTAATCCAGTGAAAAGCATTCGTGCCATATTTTGTTGGTTTGTTTTCAAAATCCAGCTGAAAATACGATCCATTATTTTCTCTAGCTTCAAATAACACGAAAACAAAATAACCTACCATCTCTCTATTTGAGTTAAGCAATATATCTTTATATATATTTGTCTTATTTAAAAGATATGCTCTATGTTTTTTGAATGATGTGCAGTGACTAGATTTTGAAAGACGATGGGAAGGCTTTGGCAGTGCCAAGTGGAGACCATGAAAGGCTGAAAGTAGTACATTTAGATCACCATTCTGAAATCTCATGTGGATAGTTGAGAACTGAGATTTTTGTAATTTTTTCCTTCCTACTCAGGTCAAGCAGAAAGTTAAGTAGAACTGAATGTCAAATTTGGATTTACAGAATACTTTGCCTTTTTTGCCTTTTTTTTTTTTTCCACTTACAAAAGTGTACACATAATACTTCTGTGTTTGGCTATGAGATTTATTATTGTAACAGTTTGCTTTCTTCTCTAGCTTCATGTTATGACTTGTAACTGTTTATATGCTTCTTTTGTGATTCATATGCCTAAAAGTCTGAAGAAAAAAACATGACTGTTTGTAAGCTCTCATAAGAGTAATCCATTAATAAAATGTCTGTGGATTTCCATCCAATGCATTTTCCATTAGCTCATCAGGTAATTGTAAACCATGTAATGGTTTACAATATGTAGATATGGGAGTTTCCTGCATAACAAAAGAAGATCTCTAATTTATGTGCATTCCTATTATAAGAGAAGCTCTGTGTATGACCTTGCATATAAAAATATTTGATCTTTAGCAACTGCTGAAAACAGATTCTATACAAAGCATGAACTCAGCAATATGAACATTTACAATTATACATCTTTGCTTTCATGCTTAGTGCAATAAATCAGTTCTTACCTGTGTGTGCACCAGCTTTCCAAATCTTGTATTACATGAACCAGCATGGTACTATTTCCTCTTTTTTTTCATGGTGAACATGGTTTGAGATGTGTTCATTATGTGTTTTTATTCTCCTTTGTAATAGGACTGTATTAATACTAATCATTGAATTAATGAGAACAGGTGGCCCTTCTGTTCACTCTGTTATCCCACCCCATCAATACCTTTCTTTGAGTGAGATCTGCTACTTTTTTTTTCATGAATTATGTGCTGCTTTTCAACTCAATTAATACACAGTATCAAAAGAGGTTTTACAGGTATTGCTACCTGAGCTCCTATTCTCAATGAAAACAATTTCATACAATGCTTCTTCTGTACGTTGCATAACCTAGTTAGTAGCTAAAATAAGTATGGCAGAGTATCTAAAACTGCAGTGTATCATATTATAGCAATAAGACCTGTAAGTGGCTTCCAATGAGATCTATGGATCATAGGTTTACAAGAGCATTTGTGTCTTTGTATGCACTAATGCTCCAGCAATCAGATGGGGGATGCATTCGTGGAAGTATGATAGTTTTCATTATTTTTCTGTCTTGTTTCTCTAAACAGAGGAATTCCAGACAGCTGCATGAATATTTATATTACCAAGCAGAATACAGAAAACAAATGCATTTTTATTGCGTATTTGCTTGAAAAGCTCAAGGAGTGGTTAAAAAGAGGTAGCATTAGAACAGGCTGCAGAAATCTGCAAAGTAAGATAGTCTGGTACAGACGATGCAAAGAAAGCAAATAACAGGAACATCTGACTTTGTTTTCAGAGACTGTTCTATTGCAGGACAGTGGGTTTTAAAGAATGTACTTAGAATCCTTAAGTTTATCTAAGAGTATTAATAGTTTTATAGGAGAAGGAGAGATATCAGTAGCATGAAGGAAGAACAAGACAGAAGTCTTGGATAATAATAAGAAGCAGTATTAGGAGCAGCCTAATTGGCTTATATTTTGGCCAAATGTATGTTAATCTTCATTTGCTAATACTTCCTATGATTTTTTCTTCTACCTGAAGAGTCAGCAATAGTTTTGATGCATATGGCATTCATAAACAATATTTTCTTTCTCCAGTTATCCCTGCCATCTTAATAGTTAAACGTTAAAAGGAAATTTCCCACATGGTTTTTAACCCTTGATTTTGGCTTCTATTAAGCAAGTCTTATTTTTAAATTGAAATTTAAACCCTGAAAATTACTCTCTAACTTACTTGACTAAGCTAACTTCTTCTTCAGTATAAATCATTATGTTGATGATCTGAAAAAAGAAACAGTCTACTCATAAAATAATGAGTTTCAAAATGAGAGAAAATAGAAATGCAGATTTCAAGTTCCAAGTAAAAAACAAAGTAAAAACTTCAGTGTCTAAGTAGATGAAATTATTCGCTGGCCTTCACTTTTTTCTCTTCAATTGCTTCATATCCTGGGTTCAGTTGTCCCTGAGCTATCTGGAATAAAATGAGAGCAACATCTTTTTTTTTAATGAACTACTATATGAAATTTTAGAAGCAATAAGCAAAAAGTCATACGGCCAACGAAGCATGCAGTGGCAAAAGTCTAAACTATTACAGCTTTCAATCCATTTTTTGCAAAGCTCAGGTAAGTGTAGATTGCACATTATTAGGATATAAAAGGTGTTCACTGTGAAGTTTTTGTGCATTTCTTCTGGTTTAGAAATGTAGAGCAGCCCTAGAATTCCTTCATACCAACACTGCTATCACTTTTTACCAGTTTTGAAGAAAGACGTGGCCCAAGAATACGTGGAAGACATAGCTTTTTCTTCTGATTAACCTAGTTCAAAGCATTATGGGAAACGTCAAACATTGTGTACACGTGGCAAGGGTGAATGAGCACAGTGCCAGGAATGTCAACAGTAAATTACTTCTTTCCGAGCAATAGTCACTGACATTTTCTTGTGGCAGACTCATACATATCTTTTCTGAATATAATTCACTCTATAAAGATTTGTCTCTTTGTCTCCCAAATCTTCATCTATCAGATCATGTTTAACATCTTCTCTTATTCCAAGGCTGCAGTTTCAGATTTATGTGGGATATTCAGGCCCTAATTGTATAAACAATTGAAAATGAGAGATAAATATTTAAATAAACAAAAACAGATAAAATTGTTTCAGATCTAATAGCTGTGACATAAACTACATTTAACATCTGATTACAGTTCACTAACTGCCTGGTCTGTATTAGAAGACTGAATGTGTCATGCAGGGACTTAATTGGCACTTTTAGACTTTGTACTGATCTTTGATATTAGTCACATTATTTGAACTTTTGATCATTTTTGGAAATATATAAACACAGGAAGATCAACTCATCTCCTTTAGGTCATTCCTGATTTTTCCCCAAAATTTTGAGCTCTGATTAATTATAAATGCTTGTAAAATCTTCAGTTTGGAAAACTTCAGAATTTTTTTTTAAATAAAATTGTTTTAAAGAACAATTGAAGGCATTTTAGCCTGAAATCTTGGGATAATGTGTAAATTTACAGAAAAAGCCCCACATTTTTAAAAAATATTTCAGAATTTAGGGTAATTGCTTATTATATCCATGCAGGTATTATAGTACTATAAAAATTTAGTCTAATTCTTAACATTCTGAGGATAAAATCCTTCAAGCCTGATTCATTTAACATTTTCCAGTGCTAAACTAAGAAACCACGTTTAACTATTGTTTCTAAGATATGTAAACAATTGATATCCTTTCCTGCTTGTCCTAAAATATATATGAGAGAGTAGAATGAAATGGACTGGCAGAAGATCTGATTAACTAGGCTCTTTAGCATTGTGGACAATGTTATATATAATTTATATATATATATATATAATTAATATATATTAATATACATTAATATATATAATGACTGTTATATAAATAAAATGACTCACTGTGGAAAGGCCTAAATTTTCGAAACCAACACAAATTGCAATTGCTTTAGCTAAAACTAATGGCTTTTTTTAAAGATCATTCTATCATGTCAATGTTGGTTAGAGTCAGACCACTTTATTGATGTTTTTAAGCTCGGGTGTGTATACTTTCACTTAATGTCTAAAGTTAATTGACATCATATATTTGAAAATGATGCTCTTAATATGTATTAGGTCATGTGTAGTGTTTTCAGATAATTAAAACCAGCTAGGTCACAGTTACCAATCTTTAAAGCAGGCAGGTCACTGGGTTTCAAAATAAGCTCATCTTCACCCTAAAGTAAGGATGTGAAAGCTACATCATTTGCTATCTACCTATCTATATGTATGTGTATATATGTATATTTAATCTTATAGTGAAGCAGTGTACAGAGTACAGGAACACACACCACCAAAAAAAACCCAAGGTCTAGATGACCCAAAAGGATTACATTCTGTTTTCTCATCTGTATTCTATGTGTTTTATTCCATAAAATTGTTTTTAAATTATTTTCTTCATTTCCCTTACTTTACTGTAACCGAATTAAAAGTATGTCACAAATAAAAAATGTGTTTAATAAATACAAGAAAATTATTATGTAGTATAACAGAAGTAAGAATTACTACTTTTTTATACCTTGTTTTCCCTTATTTTTACTTGTTGAAAGTATAAGAAGGAGAAACAAATATGTCTCTTCCATTCAAGATATGCAGCAAAACAAAAAAAGGAAATAGCTTTAATTGACATCAGTGCTAAGATCCCATGAAGGAACAATATTTTTATTTCCATTAATTGTGATATGCAAAGGATGTATAAAAATCAAATTTATTGAAAATAATGCCACATACCTCAGAGCAACCTCATTTTTCTAACATCTTCTGTTTTGTACTTCTTGAAACATAATTACTCCAAGTTAATCAGAAGTTCAAGGATAAATGCTTTGAAAAAAAATATATTTCTTAAGGAGACCTTTCACAGGAAATTACGCTGTGGTTGGTAATACTTAAAGTTCCACTCCTTCCTTTGGGCCCTAGGAATATGCAAACAAAAAATCAGTCTGCTCCGCAGCTTACTGCCTAACCTTGGTCCTACCCCTGTATAGGTGGTGTATACTTGCAGCTTCACCAAGGAGTGAGTATATGTGCAATTCTAGGAGTCCTAATACAAAATTTTGGGTACTAGAAAGCAAAGTATCTTAATTCCATGTGCAATTGAAGGTAATTAAAAGGGATTGATCTGAGTAATACAGGGGCCCACGTTCTGTTTTGAATTATACCAGTTCATGCCCAGTGATACAGGTATATATATGGAACTGGCGCAGAGAAGGAATGTGACAAAGAATGAACAATCTGGTTTTTGTTTGGAGGACTTCTGCCCAATATTCTGGCTGTTCCACAGCCATTAGTGGAGAAATCATTCATTTACTGTGTCCACTGAACAATTGCTTTTATTCTGATAAAAACTGTTAATTTTTCTAATCTTTGTCTGGCTCAGTTAATGAAATGTGGAATATCTACTGAAGAGGAAAATAAGTCAACAAAACTTACTGCATCAAATATATATTACTATGTGGGTGTTTTCTTCCTAAAATGCTAAGAGGTGAAAAGCTAGTACTTTTATCCAGCTTGCCATTCAGTCATCTGAGCAATTACTTGCTTAAAGCAAATGACGTCTAGATAGTGGAGAAAGATAAAGTTGAAAGACTATTCATTAAAAATATTTTCCTCCTCAATAGATGATGTGGTTTTTGAAGTAAATTGAACATAAAGAGTAGGAAGGAAAAAGAAAAATTTGAAATTTTATCATACCATTTTAAGTTTGCTTATGTCACAGAGAAAGTAAATGGCAATAGAGTATAAAGGAATCTAATCCATAAAGGAAGAGAAAAAGGTTAAAGAAGTCAACAGTAATTAAATGGTGATTGAAGCTGAAAGAAAATTGATCTGTGTTAGCTGAAGGCCATTCTTGCCTTTTGGGATGTTATGCATCGGTGAAGAGGGGAAATAAAGGTTTTTCTTGTTTTGATATGGAAATGCATGTCACATCTTCTTAGCCTATGGTGCTGTGACTCAAGACTACACTGAGTTTCTGGTACACTGATTCTAGTGTCCTATGCAAGCTGTGGGTACTGTGTAAAGATAAGATGCTCTAACAAAGCTTGGCAAGGTCAAAAGGCATGGGAGCTTCAACGGTTTGCCTGCTGTTTTGTCTTGGGGCAAAGAAAGAAAAGCACCCTAAAGCAAATGAATCTAAATAGGGGTAGCATTGACACATCCATGTAACAGCTCTGCAATATCCATGACTCAGGGATGTAGTGATACTCTCACAACACATCTGAAGTTTGACTCTTCGGGGGGGATACCCTTATTGCTACCATGGATCAATGAAAGGAACATTATGTGGAGAAGTTTAATAAATGCCAGCAGCACTAAAAAGTACCTTAAAGTTTTGATTTACTGCTTCAGATGTTGATTAGCTTTCTGTCAGAGCATGAAGAAATAAAAACCTGAATCTAAACCTGTAACTCTGCTCTAGTTACATATTCTCCATAACAAATGAATTACCAAATGCCACTGTAAACAGTAGTTTCTAGGCCAGGCAGAATCCCACTTCACAGAAGTCTTCTGTTCTTGCAAAGATCAGTGCTTCTTCCATTCCCCAGGGCCTTATAAAACAGAATACATTTCCCTGTTGTGAGATGTGGAGTGTGTGCTGTAGGCAAGGACCAGACCTTGTGGATGATCGCTTGAGGAAGAAATGTTGGACCATGGTAGAGGGTTACAAAACCAGCAATATTTACTGATTAGAGAACAGATCCTTCATCATCTCTTGGTTGCAATTTCTGTTTATGTCACTGGGAGTACTAAATGTGTTATGAGTCAGTACAGTATGATTTGGTCATAGTTGTATAGATTTGTGAAATTATTTGAATTTAAATGCAAAATCAAGTCATTTGCTTACCTAAAGAGTAACAGACAGCTACTAGATGTTCTGGACTACAATTTTTACAAGTTTTTTTGTTTCTAGAGAGAGCTGTAGATACTTACCATTAATAACATTTATGTTAAAGAAAGATATAAATTCTTTCTCTAGTGAAGAAATAGAAGTAACAAGCACAACAACCCTTTTCCTTGAAAAATTATATCAGAAATCTCTCTATTCTATTGTGGATATTGCACTAGCTGCCTGTCATTATCTTGCTTAAGTTTGTCAAGTGTAATGATGATAAAAATCACTTGGTGTAGCCACCTCAAAAAGTAGCCCAGAAAGGAAAGCTTAGACTTCATCATGCAATTCTTTTTTGCCCTGCAGATCACGCAGTTTATTCCTCCACCTCCTTCAGTAAATTTTCTTCTGCAACCATTAGTGTTGTAAAGGCCACAAGCTCAATTTCTTACCAGTTTCTTGGGGGGACACAGTCCATTTTGACTTGCTGAAAATCTGAAGTCAGTGTACTCTAGAACATATTAGAAGGCATATACCTATGAAAAAGAAATACAGATAAGCCATGAGCTGTGAAGTCAAATTACGATAAATTCAACACTCAATTCTCTGACTTAGAGATTAAAGCAACACAAATATTTTATACTGAAATTCACTAAATCTAGAGCTAGCAGGACCTGAAAAATCCAGTGCTTAAATTTTAGATATTCTGACATTTCAGGCATCCACTTATGCTTAGGCTTTCTAAGAAGATTAACTGGTACCTGGAGGCTGTCTAGTGTGCTGGCACCTTTGGGGAAGATGTGGTCGTGCCCAGTGCCATCAGCTTGGTGAGACACGGAGTTGACAAGGGCTCTGTACAGCTTCAGCGCAGGATGACCTGGGCCATTTTGCATCCACGTCACACAGAGCACCTTGTTAATTCCCTGCGTGTCAGCCACAGTAACTGCTCATGGACTTGCTTTTATCTTATATCAGTTTTCAATATGACTTCTCTTTGAGGTTTAAAATAGCACATATTGCCTGGCACTTGCTATGCACAGGTGTTTTATGGCTGTACAGAGTGTACAAATGATCTGTAGCTCTGCTGACACCAGAGTTTCAAATCATCTGTCAAAAATGTGCTCACCTACTGTGCAGGCAGGTACATCTGAGCTTGTCACCAAGGGCTCACTGTATAGTCCACAGGATGCTCTGTAGACCTCAAAAGTAGGCCACATGAATCATACCTCAGAAACTAAATCTCTTACTCTCCACAGAGTAGGAACTAAGGATGACTAATTCAGATGTAAACATCTACGTTGCAAATCATTATGATTAGGTGATGTAATTTCTGAAAGTAAGGATGACTTAAAATGGTCAGCAGCAATTTAGTGGAAGTTTTAATCATCCCATTAATATATAAACATTAGATTTAAGTTCCTAAGTGGCTGTTAGTTATATAAATCTCTCGGTTAATTCAGTCTTTAGCCAAAATTTGAATAACTGAATTTGTACTTTTGAACAAGAGATCCAGTTCCTCCTCTTGGCACCTTAGAGGTTCACAAAGCCCAAGGGACAGTGTACCAGAGGTGGTCAGGCACTGCTGCAGAATTTTAGACCCTGGGTACTCTTTCAAAGAGTGTTTATTTTAGAGGATTCAGGTTGCACTTTTTTCAAAACATTGGTATTTGTGTAAAAGATGATGTTAGTTTCTCTGATGACTCTGCACTATTTTGTCACAGGCTGGGAGACCATGGCTCCATTCTGATTGTGACCAAGTGAGTTTGATTCTGTACCTCCCAATGTGTTCTTTAAACTGCAAGTTAGAAGGTCTTTTGGACTTGGACTAACGTAAAAGTGTTTTTTGCTGAATGTCTACTTCACATTGATTCTTGGAGATATAATGATAGTATGAATGGCTATATAACTTAAAAAGCATAAAATTTGTAAAGGGGGCAACTGAGTCTATATTAAAAATTATTGATGTCTATTAACCAGTTTACAGATAACATCAAACAGGAAAAGTTGCAGACAAAATCAGAGACCTAAAATGGTACTTCCATTATAAAACAAATTCTAGATTCTGCTACCTAATGCTTTACTAATGCTGTGAGAAAGGGAACATCTTCAAGAAAAAGAGAGCAAAGGCTTATTGTACAAATAGAGTCTTCCTGTTAAGATGGAGGTAGACTTGAATTATCTTAAGAAACAGAAGAATAATTCTCACAAGTTGATTTTAACCATTTTGAAATATCAGAAAAGGAGGAAAAAGCCAACAGTTTCTTACAGCTGCTTTCTGTGCAAGACCAGTTTTTAAAGAATTCCAGTTGAGTGTCTCAGTTAACAGAAAAACAGTGCTTTGTACAGCTCAAGTGTGTCCTTCTAAAACCATGTATGGGAACTGCTGAGTCACGGCCTGAACCTCTGATTGATCACCTGAGGCGAGCGCTGAGTCAGCCACAGGAGCACAGGTGAAGGCAATTCACTGTGCTGCCCAAAGGGGTGGAGCCTGGCTGCACCTCTCCTAGACCTATTTAAGAGCTGGCTACCAGTGGGGAAGGATCTCTTCTGAAAATCTGCTTTGCTGGAGTTTTGTAAGTGAGCCCAGGATGCAGGTAAGCTTTCTATCCACTTTTTTGTTATTGTTATCTGCTTTGTCTAACTCTCTTGTTTATTTTGTAATTATAGCATCTTAATATTCATGGATGATACAAACCTTAAGTCATATCCATGTAAGGAAAATACAATCATAAATTCTGAGAGCTTATTTTTGAAAATGCTGTAAGGTCAACAAAGCTGTTACAAAAATATACTTTTTAAAAACAGGAAGCCTTTCAGTTAGTCTACAAGGCTGCTTTCTGGTAATGATACAGAAGGAAAAGCTCACTTCAGAGTTTATATGAATCATATCAGCGTTCACATTCTGGAATAATTTTTTTCTGTTGTTGAGTACTGAGCAGAGTATCTCTTTGAAATTGAAATGACTATAGAAATGGATAAGAAACAAATGGACAACTGAACAGTAAAAAATAGCCAAGAGCAGATGTTATGCAGGACAATGCAAGGATGCAATAGCTGAGTTATTACTGAGGGTATGCAACTTCTTGCCTGAAACTGCCTTAGTAAAAGGACTTGAGACTGCCAAATGGGATGTCAGTTTATAGAAATAATTCCAGGGATGATTTGAGGAACTACAGGCCTGTGAGTCTGAAATCTACAGTGCACATCAGTAGCATGTTTAATGAGAACAGGAATAATACACATCTGGAACTACTCTCTGTTTTTGTCCAATGAAGTATTGCTTTATAAATTCAGAGTAGTTTGAAAAATAAAAAACCACGTAGATAAGGATGATCTGGTAGGTACCATCTACTTGGTTTTCCAAAAGGCTTTTTACAAAATCCCTCAGTAAAGGTTTTTAGAAAGTTAACATCTGTGGCCTAAAGGGGGATTTTTCTTTAGATGAATATCTGAATGAAAGATAGAAAATAGAGGGTAGGAATAAATGTTTAGTTTCACATTGGAGGGAAACCATAAAAAGAATTCTTCAGAGACTGTTCGATATATTGAAAACATCTTGGAAAAGGGACAAGTCGAGCTTGCTAATGATAGTTAGTCACCCTGAACATCAAAGGACAAGGGCCAAATGTGGCGGACTGCAAGCAAATTTTATGTCACTAAGCAATAAAACGGCAAAGGAAATTCAGTGTTGAACAATTTAAAGCAATACACATTGGAAAATTTTAGCTTTATATAAAAAATTAAGGGCTCTGTGGTGGTCTTTATAGTCAGGAGTGGGATGTAGTTGCAAAGATGGATAACTGACTGTAAATGTCATAAGTACTGAGTAATTGTCAAAAAGGCAAGTAAAACATTTAGACTTCCTTTTTAGGAAAGGAATAGAACAAACACGGAACATCACTACACCATTATATAATGTCAAGCTCTTCCTATTTCCCAAGATTTTCAAGTTGTGGTCTCTTTATACCAAAACAGACGCTATAGGTATAATTCATGTTCTAGGCAATGAGGTCTTGAAAAGAGATTTAGATTTATGAAAGTACTAGTGACATCAGGTTTTATTTCTTGCATTGCTCAGAACATTTGTATATGGTTTTAGCTGACATGCTTCTGTACTCTTACAGCTTTATTTTATGGGGGGATATCTTTTTTTTTTTTTTTGAAAGGAAATGAATTACTCAGAAAAACATACCATTTGCATTGATTGAGTATTTTTGATTCTAAACCACAGCAGGATTGTGAATGTTTGTTGGGTAGCAAGGCTTCTTAGTAGTGATGAGCATGCCTTTTGCCATATTCAAAATTTCACAAATAAATCCACCTGAAATACAAGCCATCAAAACACATAGAAGTAATCCTTCTTTCAGATATTGAGATAATAAAACTTTTGATAGAGGTAACAAAATTTAGCTGAGAAATGTGCAGGAAATAATGTCAGCAAGTATACAAACAAAATTCTAAACAGGATGTGACCAACAAGCACGGTTTCAAATTATTTAATTTTGGCAAGAAAAGCAGTCAGTAAACAGCCCTCCTTATGCAATTTTGAGATCAGAAGTTTTTAACAAAAGGAAGTAGCTACCAAACAACATGGACTTAAATTGTGAAATTCATTGCCAAAGAATACCACAGAAGCAAAAAATATAATGCTCTTGCAAAATAATTGTACAAATTAATGGAAGAGAATGTCCACTATGTGCTACTAAACCAATGACTTCGATATATGTTCCAGCCCTTATAGTCCTTGATTTGCAGAACCGGAATGATGTACAAGTGAGTGGTGTAAGTCTTGCAAGCATTGCTTTTGCTCAAAATAACAAACTTTATGCTCTCCTACTCTGGCTATTGCATTTCACCACTAATTGTAAGAAATACTAGCCAAACTTAAGTTTAAACAGAAATGGTCTGAATCACCTTTCCTAATCGGCAGCCTACTTTTAAAAATATATATAACTAAATAAATAAGAAAACAGAAAAATTAAAGCCTTTTAACAACATCTACAACAATCTTTTAAGGATAGGCTGCATCATATGTAAGTAGTTACAACATTCAAGCAGTGCTATCTGACATTTGCAGTTAATACCACATTAACAAAAAATTAAAGTTGAGTTCTTCCCACTCCCCATGCATCATTCTGCTCTCCTACTATAAGTGCTTTTGGGGAGAAATTGTGATCTGAAGAGATGTTTAATTCCTGAAAGAACCCTTTTATTCACAGTGGAAGACGCATGAATTTTACAAATCTCTACCAAAAAAAGTTTTTGTTAATAGTTGGTGAAAAAAGCCTAAGGAAAATGTGTACCTAATCCTATTAGCTGACTTAATATAGAATTATTAAAAGCCTTGATACACAGGATTTAACACAATCTTTCTAGCAGGGTGTGATGTAATCTATTTTTGTTCCTCTGCTAGCAGATGGCTTACCTTTAAGTAATTTCCAATATGTTAGGAGATCAAAAGCCATCCTTACACCACTGAGGCAGTAATCGTTCCTCTCTGCTGGGGGTTGCTTGGGACTGCAGTGGGGATATGCAAAGGCTGCTGGCATTTCCAAACATAGAAGGCCGACATTTCTTCACACTTTGAAGTTAATAATCCTTCAGAAGTTGAAAAACTGAGAGATTTTCAAAACCTTTTTAATGTTCTATATGCCATGTGCTAAAGTAAATATCTGCAAGTAATCATTGAAGACTAGTGCAAGGAAGAGCTTCCCAACATATATGCTGTTTGCAAGTTCTGCTGGACTGTGCAATGCACATGGTTGTGCTACTGGGTACAGCCTTCCTGGTTTGAGAACACCATGTTTATTTGGTGGCCACAGTTTTTGCTCTTCTTACATTAAAAGTAACAGAATAAATGGTATTATCTCAATATGACTTAGAAGTAAGAAACTGTAAATTGACATTTTCCAAAAACAAAGGGTGCAAAAGTTAGTTCTCAGAAATAATAATGAAAGGATCTATATTTAAATGTTCCGAAACCTGACTCATAACAAATATTTAATAATTTAGAATTAAGTTTGGAATTAGCTTAACCTATGTGAAAGTCTAATGTTATTGAAATAACTGAAGGCCACTTCATGTGAAATTAAAAATAATACTTGAGCTGGCTGTATTTATTCTTGGCATTTTAAGAGTCTGACCATTCAAGAGAGAAGTCAGTAACTAAACACCTGGAAAAATGTTTGCTTCTGCCAGCTGTATCTTCTCCACAGTTGCAGTGAATTTTTTTCTGTGTTTGGACTACTCCAAGTCATTCATTCAAGCCGAGAAAGTCATCAAGTACAGAAAAAACAAGAAAGCTTGCTTTCTTCTTTCAGTATATGAATAAAAATTGAGTGGTAGAGACTTGGATGTATTAGAGTTAAACTCTTAAAGAGTAGAATGATGAGAACACCTCAAAAGCATTAATGAAATGCAGGCAATATGCTCCTAGTCCATTTTAACATATTTTGATAATAATAGTCATTAGTTTCTCGAACATTCCAATTATCTAAGACAGGTTTTCATATCAGTTTCCAGCACACATCCAGAAACAATTTATAGGCTAATAATGACTGAAACTTTAGTTATCTTGTTGGTAGAAGCATTGTATACTATTTTATCAGCATAATACAGTACAAAATGAAGTCAGAAAGAGGTACAGTAAAGCATATCATTATAATCACATGCTCTTGAATGCCTGCTGTCAGCGCAGCACATTGTGCCAGGGTGACCTGAGGTACCCAAAGCTGTCAGTAACATCTGGAAGCTGAGCCAGATGTGTGCTTCCCTGTCTGGTGGGGTACGTGGCTCAAGCAAAGTTGCCACTGCCATCTTGTCTGTGCATCCTGGAAGCAGGGAGGATCAGGAGGGCTCATGAGCTCCTCTCTGCTGCATTCAAGCAAGTGCAGAAACCTTTTTCACTGTTTAACTTCCCCAGCAGGAGAATTGACTCAAAGAAAGGTTAGGGCAGGACCATGTCAGGGTTCTGCAGTGCAAAGAAAGGAATTATGCTGACATCATGTCCAGAAGTGTTGCCTCAGTGCAATTTACTTCTGCCAAGGTTGCAGTAATGTGATAATGGTTTCAATGTGCTCACAGGCTCCAGAATCAGCTTCATCTGTCCAGGCATCCCCCTCCCTATTTGTCTCCTCTTTCCCTTCAGGATCTTATCTGTTTGCTTGTCTTTTTCCTCATATTTTAAACAAGTCCATAATTTTTGTTCAGTACTGTTCACTAGTTAGTCTCCAAAGCTGAAGAGCCTTCTGTTTTATCCCTGTTTACAAGTTAGGAAACTGAGGCTCAGAGCAGAGATGTGATTTATTCAACATAAGCCAAGATCCTTGTGCTTTAGTCAATCACCTTTGCTTCTCCCCAATCTCTCATATTTTAATAAAATGAGTCTTTGCTTTTACTTCAATACTTATTATTAATGAGAAAGCTACACTGAAGGAAAGGCTAAAATTACCTTGAAGCCTTACTGGCCAATGTTCATAAAAATGAAATCTCTCCAGTGAGGTGGATTCAAACAACCAACTGATCATGTGACCAACTGATAATGTGACCAACTTGTATCGACCAACTGATAATGTGACCACAGAGGGAAAAACAGTCAACCATCACATTAGGAAGGCATCCTTGTATAGCCAAAGGAAATCAAAAAAGATTTCCTTTGGAATACACATCTTGCAGAAATACCTTAGTGCAAAGCCATCTCTTTCAGGTATGTCAGCATGGGAAATAAAAAGTCTAAGTTCTCAATAGGTGTCTGAGAATGAGTATGAATCTTGTAGCCATTAAAGTAGAAGAAAAAATCTTCCTCTATGATTTGCACTTGTATTTCTACTGTGTATTCTGCACAGTAGGAGAGTGTATTCTGCACTCTTTCCACATCTAAGCTGGTTGGGATACCCAAAGGAAACAAAATAATTCAGTCTCTGTTTATAGCCTATTGTGAACTATCTAGAGTTCATGCCAATTAGAAAAAGGAGTATGTCCTCAAGTTTTATAGCTCGATGTCTCAGATTTAAGTCCCTCTCTGAGAATAGGATTGCAAAAATACAGGCATCTTAGCAGTGCTTCCCAGGTATGCTTGCTGCCTGAAATTTCAACTGAGGAACCTCAGGCTGGCATATTAGCAAAAGCAAAAGACACCACTTTCTTTTAAGCACAGCACAGGGAACAATTATGCACAAAAATCTCTCTGATATATATTCTGGCACAGGCCAATGGTACACAAGCCATGCCATCCCAAGGTGTCTGGACATGAAGGGCTTATCAAAATGAATATGAGATGACTACTGTGAGTCTGTATATATAGAAAAAAGCATAGCACAGCAGTGACTGCATAGCACTTTCTGTATTCCTACTGTGTACCAGGCAAAGATTTTCAGTTCATACATCATTCACAACTTGCTACAGGGATTCCACAAAGCCAGTACATATCCTTTACACAAAGGAAGGGGGAAAAGAAGAAATTCAGAAAAGATTCTGAAAGTATGTCTGCTGGATGAGTAGTCAGTGTCAGGGGCACACACAAAGCTTAGCAAGACGCAAAATAAATAAGCAAACAGTGACATCACCTCTACTCCATCCAAGCCACTATGATACAAAGCACCACCTCTGGTATTACAGAGCATCTTCTCACTGCAGAGCAAGAGAGCTACCTCTGAAAGGCTTTCTCCATCTTCCTTTCCCCTCCACCTCCCCAAGAAGCATTCACACTATTTGGTATACAAACGGTAAGAAAAATGGAGAGAATAAAAGGTAAAATAACATGGAATGGAGCATGCTTTAGATTCAATTCACCATCTTTACCAACCAACAAGGAAAATATCTCATCTTGGACACTTACTTAGATTCTTCTACAGCCCCTTCCAAGGGCCACGTCTTCACTCTTCAGAGGCTATTGTAGGAACCTGTAAACAATAGAGGTCAATATGGATGAACCGTGGATAAGTGTTTTTGCCTTTGCTCATTAAACACAGCACCTATTATCTTGGCCATGCATTGAATCACTTTTTCTGAATAATGTTCTTCAGAGGAGGTCCTGCACAGGTACACATACAGGAAAATCCTCTCACTAATCGACCTATATGAGTGAAAGAAAATCAGTCATACATAGTAAAAGCAATTCAGAAGGCAAGTCTGCAATGAAAAAATTCAAAAGCAGCGGCAAGATAGAGCAGATTAACATCGATCCAGATAATCTTTTCTGATTAGATCACTTTTGGGGACTGAAAAAATAATTTTTTTTTTAAATTTTTTTATTTTATTTTATTTTTTGCACAAATCACTTGGGTCCCCAGCCCAACATAGCCCCAGACCTGCATGAAGAGGAGACCAAATATGAACTACCTTTCTTACCCTTACTTGCCTAAAAAATTAGTTAAGAAAGTATAATGGTAGCCACTACGATTGATGGTTACAGGTAATACCTGTTGTTGTTTTCCTTAAAGCATCATCCTTAATCCACTGCTTAAATAAAGTTTGCTAAAAGGAAAATGTAAGGGCTTCATACAGCATGAGTTCTGTGCCATAAGCAGTGGTTAAAAAGTAGTTTATGGATACTATATCACACACAAGGCAGCACTGCAGCATAGTGCCAAGCCCAGATCTAATCTTGAAATGTGTTTTTTAACTCTGAAATGAATACTGTATTGCAGACTGCCTGCTAGTTTGGTTTCAACCATATTTTATCTCCTGGGGTTCTGAGCTGATTGTAGCAGAAAAAGGTGCCAAGACAGTCTCCTGTATTAAAATATATGGGTTACATATGCACCAAGTTTTTTACACAGTTTAGACTTAAACATCAACAGCATAACGCATATTGGGATGTAAACTGTTTTCAGATGTGTCTATGGGCTCGAGTGGAAAGGAAAATATTAGTGCTACTCAAACTGATGGCAGTCAGGACCCAGAAGGTGAGCTACAAAGTTCTGAAGGGGAGCTGCTGTGTTTCTCAAAAGCTATAACCCTGACATCGGGGTTAGCTCTATTTCTCCCTTATACAGCAATGTGTTGCATTATGGCTGTCTAAATATTCCTGGAAGCATTTCAGAGATTTTGTGACCCAGATGTGGATTATATGTAACACTAACTACGTACATGCTGGAGATGATTACACTGGGAGCTTTCAGATTCCATTCTGCACGTGTAGTACTGAAAAGAAACTTGACTTGTACTTATGAAATTCCTTTTGACCATAAGAAAAACAGAAGGAAACCCCCTTTGGAGACTTCCATAATGGGAAACAGGAAACAGGGCTGTCAAGAATGGAAAGTTTGCAGCACAGGAAAAAGAATGGACTCTATAAACATAAATGCTATTATCAGATATCTGCAACGGCCTTGCAATAGGTCTAAAGTTGAAAATATGCAGTGGTTTGTGTTTTCATTCGGATCTGAAGATTGGTTTATGGGTTATTCCTGTTCTATTGAGATCAAGTGGTATTTTTATATTGAAAAATGGGCATAGGTTAAAGCCCAGGGGTAGTGGTTTTTAAAAAGACTCTTTATGAGAGTTTTCAGCATCTTGATTCATTTCTGCTCCTTGTTTTAGCATTTCTTCACAATCAAAGCATTTGAATTGGAGCAGTTGTCATGAAGATTAGTTGGGTAGCAGTACAATGAGTTTTAATGATAGCATTTAAATATTAAAAACAAGATCCTGGTATTTCATCATTCCTTCCATGGTTTTATTTTCTCTGCAGAACTGATAAAAGCACAGATTTTTCATTGACATGGGAGTTTTCATTCAAAGGAAAGTACAGCAGCTTTTTGTTTAGACTTCAGTTAGTAATGCTCTTCTAGGGCTTCTCTGAAAGCAAGAGAACACAGAGGATTCCAGAGTCTGCCTTCCTCGTGCTTGAGGACTGCTAACAAAGGGAAGCAGAATAGAATTATAGAATGATTTAGAGGCTGATTATTGGTTCAGAGTATTCCTGAAGTGTACCACAGCTAACTGCTTGAAAAGGTGCTGCTTGCAGTCCTGCTTTAGTGCAGTTCAAAAAAACTCAGCAGTCTCTAGGGAGCACATGGCCTCTTTGGCTCTCATAGAAAGCCAAACCAATCTCAGGACAGCTTTTGCTAGTTTATATTTATACCTTAAGGTCTACATTTCAGCAAAATTCACTAGAATACAGTAGCCAAGCCAGAACCTCTCCTGTTTTCAACTCAGGTTCCGGTATTATCCAGACAACTGCTATCACCACTCACCTTGCTAAGGGAGGTTTCTAGCTTCTTTGCGTTGATGATAGAGAAGGTTCTAGGACACATCAACAGGTCGAAACTCGTGTCCTTGTCCTGCAGGTTTTGAGTAACTGCAAGGGAGGAAGGAGAGACCTGATTTAATGTAGATGCTTACATTGCAGTGGTCAGTTTCAGTGGAATCAGGGCATGACTGATCTCTCTCAGCCCGTATAAAACCATTGTTTCTCTACATTGACTGTAAAGCAGATTTCTGACTAGTTTGGACAAATACATCCACAATGTAAATGTCAATATATGGGTCAAATATCCACCCCTCACTTACACTTGCTGTGTACATTTAGGAGCTCAAGGTCATCCTCATGATTCAGCACAGTTGCTGTAAGAAATGATGAATTCAGCTCAGCCTTTTCTGAAGCACTGACCCTCTTCTGCAAACACAACTAAACTGTAAATAGAGCAGGACAGGACCAGCTCTCTTATGAATGTGCTTCAGCTGCAGAAGATTTTAGACAAATAATCTTTTCCCGTCCAGGTGGCATACGTGCATCCTGGGATTTCCATTACCTTGACTAATACAGGGGTAGTATGGGGCTCTGTTGCATGCCAATTTATTTCTACATGACTGTTACAGTGAGAGTTGGATGTTGCTCTTGGAGATGGTTTAGACCTGACAAGAGATCGTGTTACTGACTGGAACTACTGAATGTATCACTTATCTTTCATCTTTAGAGATATTTAACAGGTTTTTTTTTTTTTTCATTCCCGTGTTTGAAATCATAAAGTTGGTGAATTATCAATACTTTTTACTGTGTTAAAGCCAGCATCAAAGATCTAAAAAAGTCTTCTTCCTCAAGAAAAGAAAATAGATATTTGCATGGCTTCTAGAAAAACCTCTCTCACCTCAAGCAAATTCATTGGCAATATTTTGATCTAATTATCAGATTACAATGAATTGAGAGATATAGTCTTTCATGAATGAATAATGTAATTTCTGTGCAGTACAAAATATTTCTATTCTTTCTACTCTTCTAACATTCTTCTTAAAGTGATGTGATTCAACCAAAGCTAAATGGGTTAATAAAAATCAGCAAGTGTACTAATGCTAAGCGGAACCAAATAGTACTTGTTCCTCTTTCAGATACTGTTTGCTCTTCTACCCTTCTCACACTGCTCTTCATCCATCCCAGGGAAATGGCTGCCAATGTCCCTTGGGTGTCCACAGCCTAGGTGGCCATCTGTGCATGGGAGGTCTCTGCTGAAGGAGGCCCTGTTTCCCTTGGCTCAGCTAACAAGGTTTCCACTCTCTGTGCCTGGGAAAAGGTCTTCCATCTGTGATGTTCAGTATTCCCACTGTGCCTCAGCACTGATCCATAGTCATCTTCCTGTCCTCTTACTTTCAGTTTCTTCTCTTCTTTCAGGACTCTGAGCAGATGAGAAACTGAGCAGCTAAGTAAAGAGAGCATAAAAAGGGGCATTTGCCTTTGCAGTCACCTCTTATTCTGCACCATTCCGGATGGTTCTCCTGAAATGGTGGTTAAAAAAAGTGGTGATTATGCCAAGAGGACAGCTGAAGGTTTCAATTTCTCAGAGTATTGTCTGCATTTTTTAGTTCTGCAGTTCTGTGGAGGTTTTCCTAAATGAGCTGTGACTGAGGGAAGTACAAAAATTAACTGACTCTCTTCAGGATATAAAGTGTAAAATTAAAGCTATCAGAAAGAAGAAACTGCTTCTAACAGCCAAAGGCTCAACTTCTGTCAGCTCAGCACTGAGCTCTCCCCACCATTGTCTACCTCAGAATTGGATTCCAGTTGCCATTTTCTGAAGTACCTCATTGACTACAGTTCAAATTTTCCTTGTGTATGATTTGAAAAGCCTGGCTATACTTTCTGCTCACCCTAGACACATCAATTTCAATGACGCCTTTATTCTGAAATTAATGACAGCATACTTTGTGGTCCTGTACAGATCCTAGGAACAAATGACTTCAGACTGCTCTAGTCATCTAGGAGAGATAGGACCTCCACAGTGCAATTCATCTCCTCTATCTTAAACATCTGTTTTAGGATGGAATAAATCACACTCTGGAAGGCTTGTCTCTTCCCATTGACTGTTAATGGACCCTTATAACTGGCAGAGAATAAATGCCTAAGTTCTGAGGTTTAAGATTAAAGGTCAATGAATCTCATCATAAATGAACAGCTAAATGTTTCACCAAGGCTGTGTTACCTAACCAGAAAAGGACTCTAGAGATATTTGTGTCATCGTTTTCTTTAAGTACTGATGCTACCAAAATGTTGCTTTGTTAGTGCCTTAGAAGAAGAAAGAAATCAGGAATATCTTAGGGAGAACATCAGATACAATCCAGTAGCTGCCAGCAGGAGGAACCGCAAACTGTACGTATTGACTGCTATGGTGTGTTCCTTTAACTTTGCATGATAGGATTATATTAGAACTAAGATAATCTTTCAAAACTGTTTATGAAATTGACACTAATGTAAAAAATGAAAGAAATAAAAACATTAATTTTGGACCATAAATTATGAGGCATCTAAAGCCATCTACATCTTCTACCAAATCAAAGGGCTTGTTGCACAAGATTGCATTCTATTCTTGGAAGTGTCTGGGCGGTGCGTGCAACTTAGTCACTGTGAAAGATTAAATAAGAGAACCTGAAATGCTGCTATTGCACAGTAATGCCTTCTTTACACTGAAGAAAAAGTCTGAAGTGTGGTAGGGAATCTTTTCAAAATTCTCCCAGAAATAGGCCTTTTAGCCATGGGAGAGTTATCTGCCTTGAAAGACATTTTTCATTCCCTGTCATCCATCTGTTCCGGAAGAAAAAAAAAAAAAAAGAAAAAAAATGCCAGCAGATTTTTCCACAGATAATTTAGAAGGGCAAACATTAAATATTTAAGGGAAATTTCCCAAGAAATGCAAATGCTCATACATAAACAGAAAAATAATTATTTACCTCTGTATGTAAGGTATAGTACTCAAAGTTTTTCAAGGGTATTGAAAACCTTGAAGCTGTGATAGTGGAAAAAAAGAAGCACAAATCTGGGATGCGCTGCTGGTGTACATGATTGATATCAGCCATAATTATTTGAGTCTTAGTTTTGCTGGTTTCAGACTGAGCATTATCCCAAAGATATAAGTATTGCTCATTTTGTCCAGCCAGTTTGGTAAATGGCAAAGTTGAGAGAAATGGCGATTTAGGGACCAGTGAGCAATGCTGCAACTGAGCTCATTTCCAGTGTTCTATGTTGCTTAGAAATACAACTTTTTATCTTCTCTGAGACCTGAAAGGTTGTGCATGTACACAGGATGAAAATGATGGCTTACAGATGACAAATGTTTCAGAATAATTCATTTAGAGAAAACCCAGCTAAAAGAATGCCTGGAAAGTGCACTAATTTTAAGATACACTTGGGCTTTTTAAAAGAAATGTTATAATGTGCAGTGTTTTACAGGGATTAATTTAGTCACTCTTTAAAAAGAGAGCGAAAAAGGTTTTCAGTTTTGAGGTTTCCACCTGTATCCTTGAATCTCTGTCGTGACTGGAATTCCAGGTTTGCAACCCTAGGAAGATTACTTGGGTTTGGTGCTATTTATTTACATGTCAGAAGTCCTCATCAGACAAAAGAGGAGACGTTTAGTTTAGGTGTTCAAAAAAAATTCTTAGAGGGCAGTGAGGCACTGGCACTGCTGCCCAGAGAGCAGTGGGTGCCCTATCCCTGAAAGCACTCAGGGCTGGATTGGATGGGCCCTGGGCAGCCTGAGCTGGTGGGAGCTGGGTGCTAAGAGCAATCAGCCCTTAGCAGGAGGTTGGAGAGGGGTGGATTTTAAGGTCCTTCCATCCCAAGCCATCCTGTGATTCTATCTTTCTATGATTCAGTGGACTGAAGTTCAGCAAAGTTCAGTTGACAAATAAGGTCAACATCATGCAGACAGATGCAAGCTTTTGTATCTGACTGTTACGCAAATGTCCACTGCTATTTTTTCTACCTTCTTACCACCTTCAAGGAGAGAGAGAGACCTTCAGTGAGAGAGGTGACTTTCCAAGTTCAGGTGATTGGGATCACTCTGCAGAGGTGAAGCACTTTCCCCTTACAGTCAGTGGCAAGTGTAGCAGATGCTCTCTGACAGACAGTGAGCATTCTGTGTTGGTAACTAGAAGCAGCTACGCAAGTTTTTTTATGGAAATTCAGTGTTTAAATTGCACAAACTGGGCTAAGCACCCGAGAGATCATCAACAAATTGCAGATATTAGATACATAACTAAAACATACTGGATTGCCATACTGGTTAATTGGCATCACAGTTACTGTTGGTCTTCTTAGTATGCACCATTTCATGAAACTGAACATCTTTGCCTGTATTATTATTTGCATGGGACCGTATTTCCCCACGTATGCAATGAACAGTGACTATTGTCAAAAATCACTAAGGAATCCTTCTGTCTCTTTGACTCAAGTCACTGTTGCCTCTCGAAGCAACATGGGAGGCAGCAGAGCCACTTTGCAACCTGACCCCGAGGAATCTGTTCATCTGAGAAACACAAAGAGTTAAAGCAACAGGTGTAGTATCGAAGATGACAAGCCTTTCCCACTTTCATCTCTGAGAAAAGCAGCAGCATAATGAAGATAAATAGGAATTTTACAGACAGGTAATCACACGATAACAGACCCCTGTTATTTAACACCACCAGAGCTATTTCAAATAGTGTTAGGACTTGTCTGTGCCCACCAGTATCAAGTTCTGCTAATCAGTGATCTGTAAATGTGCATGGTTCATTAGGGCCCCAAGAACAGCTGTCAGTGTCTGCTCAGGATCAGATTGCAGGATATCATTAACTCGGATTCTATATCCGCTTCAAGGCTTTTGTTACAACTAAGTCATAATTCTTTTTTTTTTTTTCTTCAAACAGGACAGCTAAAGACTAAGGTTTCTGTTTTACCTGCTTCTGTTCAGTATCATTTTAATGTGCATTCAAAAGAAAGCTGTAAATATAATGTTCATTGTAACTAGTGCAATAAAACAGAACAGTTTCATGCCTCTTGTGCAAGCCTGTGCTCAAGCTTTATAGTTGAATTGTTTTTGTGGAACAACT